ACATCCCTCATGCTTAGTACCTCTTGCATTAGCTTAGTCTTATATTAACTCCTAAAACAAGAATGATCATACAGTCAAAAAAAAAAAACAAAAGTGAAAACAGGGTGAAGAAATTGGAAACAGGGTGAAGAAAGGAGAAATTAATCAAATCAGCCAAACCAAAGGAAGTAGATTTACCTGAACCATTTCAGGAGGGCCCTCATCCTTCGCAAGAACCCACTTTGTAAGATATATGGACACAAGGAAGCTAAGAATACAAACAGAGAAGACAAACACAATGATTGGAGATGTGCTTGCCCCAATGTAGAAGATAGCTCCAAGACCCAAAAGCAAAAGTATGAACAGGACACGAACATTTATACCAAGTAGAATACGAAATATCTGCAGAAAGCTAAAAGTCAAAAATTTCTTGGGCTATGAAATATCAAAGGAACACACAGAAACAGAATCAGTAATGACTCATAACTTACTTACCAAGCCTATACCACAAAAAGAAAGGAGGATAATGGGATATTAAGTTACATGAAAAAAGAAATGTATAAACTTTTTTGATGTGTAAGTGAATAAATTGGTGATAAAACAGTAAAGCAAGTAAATGGATGCAATAAGACTCCAGAAGATGATCATAGGGCCTTTACCAGTGGGGTGTAAGCTTTACTACGCATGTTGGGAAATGTTTTTGGTTTGTCCTGGTAAGGCCCCAAAGTACCACTCTCCATGTCATCATCCATCGTTACAGTATGGGATGAATTCACCCTCCGGGCTACAGGATAAGGGTTGTACTCACCACCTTGGGGCAAGTCACCCCCCGAACCTGGTCGCTGAATTTTGAAGGATTTTATGAACCACTATGATATTAAGTTTTACGGCTGGCTTATAAGCAGAAAATATCGTCTGTTGACAGTCCAGACAGTCTTAAGTTGCAAACAAGAGCTTCTTTCCCTCTCAACCAGTCAGGCTTTAAAGTCCAGAATCTTGATATATTCAGCTTCAATTCTCTGACAATCCACAAATATCACAATCAGAAACATTATGCGCAAAATGCAAATAGGATGTGAACTTGGCATAAATAAGAAATACCAATATTTATATATAGCTAAATACACCACAAAATTCAAATAAACAGTTGCTTGATGCAAAAGAATGCAATCATGCACACCCTTAATTCCTTAAATAGATATCATATCGCAAAAAGGTCTATATGTTTGGATAATGATAAAAATCTTAAAGTTCCGTTCGCTTTCTGAGAATACACAGTTCAAACTATAGATCCCGGTCTTTTTATGTTGGCGTGGTAAAAGCATGGACATGGATTTTTGTCTGATTAGTTGAACTTCGAAAAGATATGTCAGATGCAAAGATAGCAAACATTTCTCGTGACTCGAACATTATAAAAAAGAACCGCAAATTCATTTCAGACGATTGCTCACAATCTGAGACATCAAAGTTCGGATCTAAAAACAAAACCGAAGACTGAACGAACAGCAAGTCTGAAAATGAATTCAGATTATGAAGCCACAAATCACATACCAGCAGCGATTGTGTCTGTCGATCGACGCAAATACATTGACCGAATAAAGAGTCTTACAAACAGATCTAATGCTGTTGACGCAATTCTTCGTCAGCTATGCTTCACTTCCCATGTCTTGTTCCACTGCTCCCTCTCTGGTTTCCTCAGCGATTACAACAGTAAGAAAGCGGAAAGGAAACTCTCTGCTTTTCCTACCAAAAAAAAAAAAATTGCCACGAATGTTGAGCACTAAACGGACGAAGGTACAATTTGGCAATTGCAGTGGATATTCGCTTCTTTTATTTATTCAACCTCTTCTTCACGTTTGTGATTTGTGTTGCTGATCTGTCAATTAGATCCAGTAGGATGAAGCCATCTCATCCTAAACACGTATCAATTGGTTGCTAATTACATAGCTACAAAAACATTTTTGATGGACATTTTTAATTTGTCAGGCCAAATTCAGGAAATGTCTTAAAATTCTGGAAGAATCTAAGTTAACAAATAATATTTGAAAAATAAAACAATAGTAATATATATTGTATTTTAATTTTAACTATTTTAGGATAAATGAATAATTGTTTTAATTATTTTTATCAAAAAAATGAATAATTTAAATTATAAATTATAAATCAGAAGGTTTGAATTCTAAACTCATTTCTATGCAATAATTTTTTTAATTTTTAAAAACAATGCGATCTAAACCTTACCATTAACAAAAATTAATTTTTTTAATTCTTTTATTAAATTTTTAGAGTTCTTTGCAATAATTTTTTAGATTTTTTTTTTGCAATTTTTTATTTCTCTTACTTTTCTAATTAACTAACTGACAAAATTAACTCTTATTAACAGCAAAAATTATTTTGCATTGCATTCAAAATTTGTGAAAAGATATTATATAAAAGATGAATTTAAATTTTTAAACACTGCTGAATCTATAATTTAAGAATTATTTTACTTATTTACTCATTATTTTATTATTTTCAAAAACTGATGTCTTACACATATATGTTTTAATTAAACATTTGCTATTAAGGATTTGAAGGTTGAAGCATTGACTTATATCCACCCCATCCCAATATTATTATCTAGGTTAGTTTCCAGTGGCTTAATTAAATTATTTCTATTAAAATTATTTTTTTATTAATCTTCACTTTGCTAATATGTTAATAGGATCTTAATTTCTTAGTTCAAGCTTATTTTAGATTATATTTTTAGAATTTTATGTGTAGAAAAATTATTTTTAAAAATTTATTTCCTAAAAATTGGTAATTTAAAAATTGAATTTTATAAATAATTTTTTTTGAAAATAAGGCCGTGAAAAAATCATATAAAAAAATTAAGATTTAGTTATATCAGAAGTCATGAGGCTTATATAGTCAGGAGGCAGGTTGACAACGAATAAATTTACTTTCTTACCTGCTTAATTTACATTTTGCAATATTGAACATCAGTAAATGTAATGTGACTCCCCTCTCATTCTACTTAAGATTAGCTCAGTAAATATTACTTTTAGTACTTTATTTGGCAAAATTAATTTTAATATTAGCTCAGTCAAAAGATTGTGTGTGTATTAACATGTATTAATTATTTTTAAATTTTGATCTTTTAAATTAAATGATTTGTTATTATATCAGTTAAGCCACTGTCTTCTATTCACTCCATCTGAATATTGATTATTTGCATTAATTATTTGCTATTAGATTTCATTACTTTTAATCATATTTGAATCACCTTTGCAACTATTCTCTCATTGTTTTTTTTTTTTTACATGAACACTCAATATCTTAGACCTATCCCATCAAGTTATAAGGACTTAAGGAGACTCAAACTAATCCTAATCAAGAAATGATTAGCACCATAAGGGTGGGTGTTCTTAATCACTAATGATATTACATTTCTAGAACTCAAACTCAAAATCTCTGATTAAATTAAAATAACATATGTTGTACAGATATTGATATGCATCTCAAATGTGTATATGATATGTCAATATTTTTATTTTTAAAAATATAAGATACAATACATTTTTTATACATGCAAATATATTTATAAAAAAATCATAAAAACATTAAAAATATAATTTTAATTTAAAAAAATTCAATCCATTGTATATATATAGTTCTTTATAGCAATATCAATCAAAATATAATTATTAATTATAATTTTATTTTATCTCTATCTAATTACCTATCATTTAGTCTCTGCTAATAGTTCTATACTTAGGTTTTATATGCCAAAATATTATATTCCTATATTTTTTTATAATTAAAAATATAATTTTATCCTTTTATTATATTCAAAACTTATTTTTTAAGGAAAATATAATTTTTAAATTTAAAGGCAAGTCATAGAAATATATAGAAAAAATTAATATCACAATATTTAATAAAATTTAATTTTTTAAGAATAGCATCAAAATATCAATTTTAAAGTATCAATTTATCATTTAAAAATATCAAATAATTATCAAAAATTAAAATTTTTTAAAGTTAAAAAATAATATTTTGATATCTTATGATACGTATTTAAAAAATATCAATAAATATTAGTATTGAATACAATATCAATATGAATGTGTGAGATAATTTAAAATATTAATATTTTATATAAAATAATTCTTGCTTCTTGATCCCAGGGCATGTGGCTTATTCTCACACTGTTTAGTTTAACTAAATGCTTGTTTGGAAACAACTATTTAATCAATTATTATAAGGAAAATCATAGTTTGGGTTAAAAAAAAAAAAAACCCAAACAGCCCATAAGATGATAGTGAATTCAGTTTATTCCCAATCCCTTTTACTTTAGCCCTTGTGAGACGCATTGATTACGCCACACAGTACACTCATTTGGATTCGTGCACTTGTAGGTGGCAATCATAAGCCTGCAAGTCTTGAAATGTCATTTTCCCAATACTTCAGCCAACAAGAATTCGACATGTTAATTTTTTTAATCCAGCAAATCGCTCAGGTATGCTTCTAAAATATTTTCCCTATTAGAGGCTCAAAATAGTTTGTGTTTTTGTAGTAACATGTCAGCTTTGAGATTTAAATATTTTGCTGCATGATATGAATTCAATATTCAAAAAAGTAATACGATTTTTAATGTTTTCAATCATAGCAATGAATTAAATCCACTTTTAAAAAACTTTTTTTAATAGCCAAACTGGTCAGTCCATCAAAAGAACATCCAAGATCAACTACACTATATATAATTTACAAATAATGTGGCTCACTTATTGATGACTGAAATTTAAATAGTAGTCAACTGGCCAACAAAGTACTCGCTGGCTGTTCATAACTTCAAATTCCTATCGTATTTACATACACAAAATTCTATTCAATAATTCATCCCGCCTGGGACTGCACGTAGTAGGATTTAAATACAAGAGAATGCACAAAATGCCATTTTTGTGTCTATAAAATTAATGTGCCCTACCCAAACAACTTTGCTATCTCATTTTTGACATTATACGATGAGAATTACAGTCAAGTCCCAAATAAAAAAATTAATTATTTTTCAATCTATTTACAAGTCAAACTTTTATATTTACATGTAAAACTTCAGTATTTACAAGTGGATAGGACTTGCAATATAATTAATTTTTTACATGAAACGTCCTATATGTAATTTTCCTTTATATGAGGGGATGTACCAACTTTGTTGTCCCTGTAAATAAATTGGGGGGAGAAAAAAAAAGGCTTTACATCAATGGATGAATGTTATGCCTGAAAGGTCAAAAAGAAAAAACGTTATACCTTTCTATCCTTCTGTTTCTGTGGGTGATGATGGGGTCGATGGGCTTCTTGAGCTCCCAGAATGGCCAAGCCGTGGGTCACTCATCACATCCTACAAAAGGTTTTTTAACAATTAAATTATACATTCTTGCTTCACGCATTTAAAATGCCATGTATATTTTATCAGTACGGTTCAAATCGAATTTAAACAGTCAATATTTTATTAACTTTGTATTTTAAAAATTTAGACTAACTAGATCGAATGCAGACTATCTGAACACTCATGCACATAGTTGATAATGCAAAAAACAAAAGAATGTTGTGAGATTATAGCATATAAATTCCTTGGGACTGCTTTAAATAAGGTGAGGAGAGGTATCCATTTGACTATTTGTTGGTCAAAAATTTATTTAAAAAAAAATCAACTTATTGTAAGAAATTTGTATTTGTATACTAAAAATCAATTTGATAAATTAAAAATTTTTGGCTGATATATAACAAAAAAGTGCTTTTAATGGAAAAGTTGATCGTGCTTTTAACATGTGGGTTCCACAAAAGCAGCCTACTCTTTTCCCGTGTTCGGTGAAATATGACACCTTGAAACCTTGGATACATGTGCTATGACCATACATACGGTCCATGGACGTGAGATCGTCGTCAATTCCTTCTTATTTCTTTTTTCTACCTTGTAGGCTTTTGCCTCCATTTGTGATTCCAAAAAAAAAAAAACTATAAGAAGAATAATGATAGTTAAGAATATCAACTTAAAAATAGATGTATCTCAATTTAAAATAACAATAGCTCAATTGAAAATCATGAGATTTTAGTTGAAAATAGCCCTTAACTATCATTATTCTTCTTTTTAGAAGCCAAAGTTGTGTTTATCCTAAAGCAAGTTAGCATCCAAGCATGGGATTTATAGTTGGTAGCTAGTTGTCACCTGTTGTATGGAAGCTTGACTGTGGTTAGGGGAGGGCCCAGTACTGCTAATGCCACCTAAAAAGATGCCACTAGGGTGTTCTTCAGCAAACTCTCTCAATTTATTGAGCTCTGGTAGTATGACTTTGCCAAGGTCTGGCCGATCTTTTCGTCTAAGCTCTGCGCATTTAAGTGCTAGCTTTGTGAAGCACAAGGCTTGTTCAATAGGCCAATCAGGCACAGATGGGTCAAGCATATCCTCAAATGCACCATTCTCAATAGCCTCTTCTACAGTGTGTGCCAACCCCATTGGAGGCTTGCCTGTTACAAGCTGTAGAAGCATAATCCCAAGAGAATAAACATCAGACTTCACTCCCAACATTCCTGTTTGTTGATACTCTGGATCAATGTAACAGAATGTCCCTGCTGCTGCAGTCATCCGACATTGCGTTACATTCTCAGCAACAGCAGGCACCAACCTGGCCAATCCAACATCGCTTACTTTACTTACATAATTATGGTCTAGTAATATGTTGGCAGGCTTTAAATCACGGTGTACTAAAGGTTCAGGCTTGGTTTGATGCAGAAACAATAGGCCTGTGGCTATTTCTGCCGCGATTCGAAACCTGTACTGCCATGGCAAAACACGATCATGATTTCTCTTGCGAAATAGACAATCTTCTAGGCTTCCATTAGCCATATATTCATAAATTAGTATGCCGTATTCTGGACATGCTCCTAGTAGAAGTACCATGTTGGGATGGCGTATGCAGCTAAGTATGTCAACCTGTAATCACAAGAAAGCTAAGTTGTGATGAAGATATGTTATGTTGTCAAAATTAGTAAGTGCTTTACTTTTTTACAATTAGAATTACGCATGCTCACTGTTTCGTCACCTCTTGCTGAAACTGTGCCCTCCCTTGAGCAGCATCTGGTCGAAGAACCTTCACAGCTGCTGGTGTATGATCAAGATAACATTTGAACACTGGGCCATACCCACCTTCTCCAATTTTTCTAGACTCTGAAAAATATTCTGTTGCTACTTCAATCTCCTCAATACTATATTTCCTATATCTTCCATCGGTTTGGGTTAGGTTATCCAATAGTTTTCTAATTCCTTCTGCTTCTCTCAGTGCTTTCATTTCAACACTTGCTCTTTTATGAGATTCCACTGCAGCAATTTTCTTGGCTGCTTCAGCTGTTTCCATGGCTGCCTTACTCCTTGCTTTCTCTTTCTCTGCAATTGCCAATGCAGCTTCTTGTGCCAATCGTGCCTCTTCTAGCTTCTTCTCTTCCTCGCGTCTCCAGTTGTTCAACTCCATCAACTGTTACAATTAGTACCAGTTGGAATCCCCCACAAAACCGAACATAAAGTAATCAAGTTGTAGTGCAATCGTACCTTTTGTTGTGCCGTAAGTGCTTCTCTGCATGCTACACTGTACATATCCATTGTTTGCTTCAACTCAAGCTTCAACCTTCTCATATCAGTTTCTACTTCTTCCTACATGTTTTAAGCGTACATGATTAAGAAAGGGGACATCATCAGAGCACAGGGCTTGAAAATTTCTTAGCTGCACTGATATGAAAGATGGCTAGATCTTAATGAGCCGCATCTCTCTATTGGCATCAAAATCTAGAGGATGATGATTTAAGTAACTGATAGAAGATAGTCATTGTGCAAGCATTGTATTTTGACAAATGACTACTAAGTCAATAAGAAATTGTTATCACCATGTTCTGAGATGAATATGAAAATGATGTTCCATCCCCATCTTGTGAAAATGATGCATCTGGTGAAGTGGGATCCATAGGCCTGTAGCCTAAAGGAGTTGATGCAAAACTACGATCTGAGCCGACTGAAATACGCGGGGTAGCGTCCATATAGTCATAGAACACAGAGGATGGACGAACACTGCTTGGTCTGCCTGAGCTTATAAATGATATGTCTGATTCTGTATCTGCATAGTCTACACATGACCTTCCACTCAAGCCTCCTCTTCCTCTTCCATATGCTGACCTGCTTCATCAGAAAAAATTTCTATTACTCTATTTCTTCATTGCTCAAGCCTAAACTCAATTATTTCATTTGCTAGGAAACTTACCTAATGGATTCATCTTGCCAGCTGTGAGGTTTGGTAGGTGTTTTGTCTGCAACATATATATGCATAGATTTTCTTGTAATAAAAGCATATTTAGAGCAAGACGTTGGAACAGAAGAAAATTAAATTTGACAGTAAAAAAATTGAGGGGAAATGACAATTAGGGACCCTGTTCTATGATTACAAACCTTAAATTATTGAAATTCCAATAAAAGACTATAGTCCTTACTTGTAATTAAAAAAATGTAAATATTTAAGAAATCTACAAACTATACTTGGGACTATTTATAATGTCAATTGGGAATTTACAAAAGTTAGTTAGGAATCTGAATTTTTTGCTATCAATATACAAATAAATCATTTGCAAAATTAAGTAAATATACTTGAGATCATTTAAAACATTAGTGGAAAATTTACTAAAGTAAATTGTAAATCGCAAGCTAATTATTTATGAGTTTTTGCTTTCAATATATAGATAAATTACTTGAAAAATTTACTAAATGCAATTGAGATTATTTATAATGTCAGTTAAGAATTTATAGTCAATTATGAATCGTAAGCCAATTATTTGTAATTTTCTTTGCTATGACTTGGGAAATTAATAAAAAATAGTTGAAAATCTTTGTAACATTTAATTAGGAATTCATTAAAGTTTGTTGTGAATCTCAAGCTAATCAATAAAAGACAATTTATTGCAAGTAAGGACTACAGTTTGTTGTTGAGATTTCAATAATTTAAAGCTTGCAATTGTAATTAATGTTCTTCCAAGGTGCCTAATTATCATTTTCCCAAAAATTAACCTCGCAAAGGCATATGTCTGGAGGGCATCTCAGTGTGACTCTCATTTTGGTTATCTAGATTCTGCATTTTACTAAGCAGAGGAGAGGCGTGAGGAGCTGGGCGAGAAGCATTTCGGACAGAAGATATTTTTCCCTTAGATATGACATACACAGTGCAGAAATCTGGTGCCCCTTTGGATATGCCACTTGGTATAGTTGATGACTTAAATCTGCATGATAACTTTAGAGATCAATATAGTAATAATAATAAAATCATTTCATCGAGAAGTTAATTCATTTACCTAATGAATCCATGCCTTGTAGTTGCCCCAAGCACCAAGTTCTCAATTGCAGCAGAAGAGACAAATTCTATTACTGCTTTCACAACATCAGTGTCTTCAAGTAGAATATCAAGGCATTTCATCTAAGAAAATGTATAGTTTGCAGCAACAAGCAATGTGAAAGGATGTGCATAAAGAGTCAGAGAAATAAACTCCAAATAGAAGTTGTGAACGTGAAACATACATCTTTGCGAGTACAAAAGCAATGGAAGGTATTAAATAGATCCTTGGTAGTTTTATCAAGTTGGTGCCTTTGTGGTGATGCAGATAGATTTCCCACGTTATATATTACTGATTGACATCCTCCGTCTGCATTTGACCAAAAGCTGAAGGTTAAAATTATTCAACGCAGCCTAAGGTGGTTAAGTTGGGTAGTAAGAGGCTAAACACCTAATCTCAGAACTTCTGTTGCATTTTCTCTACATCCCCTCTATATTTCCTCTTTGTTTTGGGCCACAGTAAGGGGAACACTGCCTTTTTTGAAAAGAAAAAAAAAGGAAAATTATATAGCCATGTTTGTGAGAGGATGTAGAAAAAGTTCTGCTAAGATCATATCCAGCCAAGCAACCCTTAAAGTCTCGAGTTTGAACACTAAAATTCAACCAATTGGATCGGCTGGGGAAAAGAACCTCATTGGGTAAGCTTCTATCAACAACAAAAAACCTTATCTGACTAGGTGAGGATTAGAGAAAGCTTCCATCCATTGGAACAAATTTGAATTAGTTGAGAATATCACATATTATATTAGATGTTAACACAAGTAAGTGATTAAACAATCCATAAGTAAAGTGTTAAATTCATGCCTCATGAATTGGGAAAAAGTTTTTTTTTTTTTTTAATACAAGAAAAGTTTAGATGAGTTGGACTCAAATCACCCAGCAACAAGATCCTCTCATCAAATATCGAAATTTTAAATAGATAAAATTCTTATTAACTAAACCAATATTTATTAGCGAGGAAAAAGTTTTGTTGGAAGAGTTTCTCTCAATTCTAATCTGACTCGAATTCAAACTAATTGATAATGCCAAATATCAGATAGTGTTTTTTTTTTTTTTAAGAAAAAAATCTGCTGAAAGCAAGCAATAATCAAATATATGACATGAAAAATTAACAGCATACTGGAAGTAGGAGCTGATGTCTTGTGCAAAACGTGGATTAAAATGACAGTTTGGCCTCTTGAAAGCAGACTTTCAGCAGCCCATTTGAGAGCTTGTTGGCTTCCTTTATCCTTATCTATAGCAACAGCGATGAGACCATTTCCTCCTCCTCCCTTTCTAATCCCTGAAGCCTTAGGGTTTGGAAACCACATTCTCTCTATAATCACCACCACCACGACAACAACGAACTGGGTATCAATTACCCAACAATCTTATAAAACCCACAATTCTCTATGTACTCTTACACATTCTTCTTCACACAGGCAACAACAACAAAAAATTTCGTTGGGTTCAATAGTAGTTGTCTGATAAATTTATGACTTCCGACATAGCCTCTCCGAAAATGAATTTTTTACTGAATGTGGAAAACAATTTATAGAAATCTACCCCTAATTTGTGGATGATCAACCAAACTTTTCTTTTATTGTCCTCTTGAAGGCCAACGTTAGGGAACATGGAGCGAAATAACATTGCCATTAATAGGAAGCTCGTGCTTGCTTTCTCATGGGCTCAATTAATAATTACTGGCTCGGATTTGAAAATATTATTTTCCATTTATTTTCTATCTTTTTTAAATTTATCGTGGGTTATTCATATAATATAACCAGAAAAAAGCTCTTGCATTGCTATTTCACGTAACAATAATGAGGTATCGATTTTTGTTGAAGCAAAAAATAATAATTTTACTTATTTTTTAAATATATCTAAACGGTATTTATACAATTTTTGTTTCATTAAAAAATGATATCATGAAAGTGTAAGAGCTTGTTTAGAATTGTTTTTGTTTCATTATTGTGAGAATTAGTGTTTTAAAAAACATGTTTTAAAAATAAAAGAATAATAAAAATAATTTTTTTTTGCATTTTTTCTTATTTTCTAAAATAATTATTCCATAACACTTAAAAAACATTTTTATTTTTTTTCAAAATAATATTTGATTCTTTTTATCTCAAAAATGTTTTTTAAAAATATATTATCAAATGAATTTTTTGTCTTTTTTTTAAGAATAAAAAACTGTTTCAAAACAAGTTGTTAACAAATCCTAAAATTTTACAACATTTTATAACTATTCTATTTTTAAATTCCAAAACACTAAAATTCATTGTATAATAAATTCACTACACTTGACTTTTAGAATATAGAGATACAATAATATTACTTAACTTTTAGAACATAGAGATATAATAATATTATAATAAGTCAATAATCCCACATTGGCGACGAACAAAGTTTCTAAAGCCAATTAAACAAATGGATTTAGGGAAAAGTGCAAGTGGCTTTAAATAACAAATAACAAATAATTAATTTTAAATAGAGTATGAATTTAAAATTATTGATCTAAATTTTAAAGCTCAAATAATATAAATATTCAAGTATAGTTATTAAAATCTAAATTTCCAAAATCTATTTCTTGTCCTACCAAGAAATAAGAGAATCATCAAAGGAGATGCATTATTTCATAATGAAACAGTGATTGGCGGGATTAATGGCCCAATTAGCATCAAACAAAAACATTGACCAAAAATCGAAGACCATGAATCAAGATGCTTTTTAATGAATAGAAAAAGGTGCTTGGAGGTTTGGACAGAATGGACGGAGCCAATATACGTTAGAAGTGGGAGAAGCAGGGACCTTTACTATTCGGTCTGCCTATAATGCAGTATGACCTCCAAGGGTTAATAATGAATTTGCATGGGGTACATTGTGGAAAATAAAAGTTCCACAAAGATGTAAGAATTTTCTGTGGCTTAGCGCCCATAACAGGTTACTTATGAACGAGGAACAGTGCCAAAGAAAGATGATATTGGATAGCTCCTGTTCACGGTGCAATGAATGCAAGGAAGACCTCCTTCATGTGCTTAGGGACTATCCAGAGACTTTATGTGCTTTGGCACTCTATCGTTAAACTGTTGTATGTATTTTAAAAGTGTGTGTGTGTCAAAATTTCACGTTGACTAAAAGAAGAAAACCTCCTAATACATATATATTAAGGAATGAAGTGAGCTTGTAAAATGAGCTTGGAGAAGAAGTGGCCTCACACACATGAGGCAGGCCAACTTAGGGCAATCGCAATTAAAATCAACCGATTCACCCCCTTATGCGAGTTCAAGAAGCAATGGGTTTCTTTTACCGGGTTATTTTTACAAAAATAATTAAATAAATAATTATTTTTAGCTTACCTGAAAACCTCTTATTTTAATAATTATTTTTAGCTTACCCGAAAACCTCTGATTTCACTGTTTTGAATTTGAACTTGAAGCCTTGGCAGTTTTTTAACATTAAACCTCTTCTGAAAATTGATTTTGTGGAGTTAATATTTTAAACGTTTTGTCTACCAACGTTTTCAGACAGAGGCTTAACTGATATTTACGTCTGCGTAACCCCCAGATAAGTGCTTAAATGTGATTTATTAGAGTGTAACCGAAGTTTTAATCCGATGATTATAAGCCAACGTTCATGTCTCCTTCCTTGGGCTATATATAGCCATGGGTGCAGATAGAATAGGGTACCAACCTCTTGAGTTTTCGGGGCAATTCTTTCCTCCCTTTGCCTTTTGTTCATCTGTTCGACTGTGTTTACTTTTAGTCTTGGTTGTTCTGTTCCCTTGCTCCGCCGCAGGAAGTGCTTGTTTAATTTTGAAGAACTGTCGGTCTGTCATCCCGGTGTGCAGGAATAGTTCTTAAAGACAGTGTCTTTTCGAGCACGACTTAAGTAGTTTGAAGTTCGCTGTTCTCGTCTGTCGCCGGTGCCACCAACATAAACTTAGCAAGAAGTCTATCTTCTTCACAATGGAATTAAAATCGTGGTTCGAGTAGAACATGTGATATTCTACTAATGATGGAGTTGAAAACTGGGCTGCGTTTTTTACTTTTACTTACTTATTGTTGGTTGCTATAGAAAAGGCACAATATATGCATTTTTGAGGGCAAGATCACTAACAATGAAGGCATCCAGGCCCAAACTATGACTGTTCTGCAAAGCTTACGAGGAATTATTTAGCAGAGTAGGAAGCTTAACTGGCATGGCCAACCACTAAGAAGCACGGTGAATAAATGGTTACCCCCTCCTAAAGATTGCATTATGCTTAACATTGATGGAAAATTCCTCAATGGATTCACGCTCGAGCTGGTCGGGACTGATAACTTAAGCATGGAGCTATGAGCCTATGGGGTGTACTAATGGGTTCCAAACATGCCTAGGATATGGGCATACGACAGTTGGTGATTGCTTCTAACCCTCAGGAAGCCGTGGACCTCATGAAGGGTAGAGACATTAGTGTTTCATGAGGATAAAGCACTCATAAAAGAAATCAGATCTGCAGTTCAATGAGAATGGCAAATCTCGAGCTTTCATGTGTACAAAACTAGAAACAAAGTTGCAGACTTTCTTGCCAGAAAAGCCTTTTGCATATGGCCTGGTTTCAGCCACACAAGTGATCCAGAGGAGTCTAGGAATCTGCTTGCTTAGGACCGCATTAGTGTTAGCAGCTAGTGGGCTACTCTTTTGTGTATGGGGAAAAAAAAAAAACCATGTAGTGGGGCTATACAAAGTGCCACTATTAATCAACTAACTGTACAAATAACATGGGCAATACTATCTAAATTAATCATTAATCACTATGAGATAGATAAAACTCTCTAATGTGATATAATTAAAAACTCTTACAGTTAGATAGATAAACTATTTTGTAATGGATTTAATTGTTTCTTTATTTCATAATAAAATGACATATAACTCTTCAATACAATGGTCTCCATGTTCATATGCTATATTATCAAGGTAGTTTGTTATTCCAGTCTTATTTTAGAGTAGAGAATGAAGATTAATTTTAATTTTATTTATAGGGTACTTCATTATTTTCTGCATTCATCTTTATTTTTTTATCTTTATAAAATGCTAAGAAAATTTATTAAAAAATATTTATTTTGTCCTTATTAAGGGTAGAAGTGAAAACTTATTAAATTTTAAGATAAATTCAATAAGCTTTAAGGTTTTCTTAATCTCAATAAAACATGCTATAAATGATTTATAAATAAAATTAGGAGAAATATAAGTGACTTACAAGTGCTTGGCATGGTTTTCAGCCTTGTATCGCGCCACCGAGTTCACTTAAACACAAACCAGGAGAAAACTAAAAATAATAATCAAATAAAAGGTGAAAGAATATATTAAAAAAAATTCAAATTACATATCAGGAACAATTAATAAAATTTAATAGTAATAATATCACATACACATACAATCCTTACAAAATATCATTCCGGGGGGGATCATTGCCCCTAAGCTCATATATTTATAAAATTTATAATTATAATACATGCCATTCTTCACAAATTGTTAACCAATACCTAGCAAAACAATGCATGTCTCCTTCCCAGATACGATTCCACCTGAAATACGAGAATACAAATGTGCTGAGGAAACTAATGCTTCTCAGTTTCTTAATCATCAAAAATGCCCTCATCTTCTGATGAAAAACCAATCCTTCAGTTGACTTGGATGTCTGACGACATCATCCACTCATCGTCTGCCATTGCCACCGCCATATTCAATCTTAGTGCCGAGTCCAGGCGGCTTCCGTCCAGCCACATCACATTGTCCATCCTTCATTACATTTATAATTCCACAATAAAGTCAAAGGGACATGAAGTTCCATTGTCACGGAGAAGAAACGCTTCTATTCTTTCTTTTTATGCCCAAAAGAAGAAAAATGCATCTCTTCGTTTGATATAACTACATTGTAGGTTTCCCTTAATTGTGATGCAAAATGGGAACAAAACTTCATTTAGCTAACTTGTCTGTCTGTAGGATAAAATATTTGAGGATGGAAAAAAAACAAAAATTATGATAAACAACCTTACATTCTCAATTATGAAGCTTAATTGCCAAATCATAATGACATCATTCAATGACTGATTCCAATCCATCAACAGAAACCTAACTATTCTCAGCCAGTGGCCATGATTCCAATAATCACTCTCAACATTTTATGGCAAATTATGGTGACATCTCTAGTTTATAACTTCAATCTAAAAGAACATTTGTTTAGATCAGTAACTCATAAGCCTATTTCATTGTTCTTCTGACAACAAAAGAAGGCCATTTTATGGCAACAGAAAAATAAGGGCCAAGATAAATCTATCATGACTTTATAAAGTCCAAGGGAATGGCAGACCTTGTTATTGTGATGCGTTAATTTTTTATTGAACTGGGCTCATCATCTGGCAGTTCTCGGCCCATGGTCTCAACAGGAAAGAGCATTACGCATATTCCTGAAACAAGGGCAACCATCACAAAGAGAATCACAACTAGAGTTTGATGACAATCTTGCACTAAACCCACTGCCACTAATGGACATATCATTCCACCAATCCTGCCCATTGAGCTTGCGATTCCAACGCCAGTTGTTCTCACTGATGTTGGGTATATCTGCAGTTCACATAAATCTTGTAAATATCAAATTTTGACATAGAAACAAGAATAACAAGAATCAGACGGAGAACTAATATTCAGCATCTCTTGATCTCTATTATACTCTTGAAAATAAAGACCAATGGAGGGAAAACAAGGTAAATTACAACAAAATCATATATCTATCACCTTTTACTACACTACATATCAACAAACAGTTGATGTTCCTATCAAAGCTATTTAAAAAACGCAGTTTGTTGCTCACTATGCAAGCTGGGAATGATTGATATCATACGTACTCCATAGCTTGAGGGGAAGCGTTGAAGTATGAAGATTTTATTTTATTTTCTATTGATGTAAATAGATTAAAGGATTTATTGTAGATTTATCTTAACTATAAAGACAATTTTTAGAATAGTCTTTGCCTCATGTCTTATAAGTAAAGGCCCCCTCACTTGTAAACATAGAGAAAATTCATTCAGGAGGGAAATATTTTCTTCTCTACCTCTGGTCTCTGATCAGTCAATTATATTATGCTGAGATTACATCAAATACCATTAGTAAGGCATTACAAATAGATATATCATGTTACTATTTAAATCACAGAGTAATGGACCAAGGTCTGTCCCAAGCTGCCAAATTCTGAGAACAAATTAATGGTAAAAACACTTTAGAAGTTAGAACAAATTAAATGATCACAAAATATGACAATCAGCAGAATCATTCTGAAAACTATTCAAGACTCTAGACATGAATTATTCATTTAAAATGAATATAACAAATGTCATAATCCTGAAATTTTTGCATTCGATAACTTTTTAGACTACTCTTATATTATTTTAAATCATGCAAAATCAATTCCCTTCCCTTTGAATAAGTTGTTACCTCTGGAGCATATATGTACACAATAGTGAAGCTTGCCATGATGCATATGCGAGCTCCAAACAGAAGTCCTGTTGTTAGATCTTCAGGCAGATGAAAAACTAGTAGTAGAAGGAAAATGCAATACACGAAGAGCGTAGCTGACATTGAGTTCTTACGACCAATTCTATCTACTGCAGCAGCAGACAATAGTAGCCCAGGTAGCTCTGTGCACAAAACATAATCAAGCATCAGTCATCCAGCTTCCTCCATCATTGGAGGAAGATATCACTGAAATTAACCAACAGTAGTCTTTAGAGCAAACATGATTGCCTTTGGAAGATCACTTGGTCCCCCCCCCCTCAAAAAAATTAACTCTCCCTCTGGAAATAGAATATGCACAACACCAACCTCCCTTACCAAAGAAATAAAGTTACAATTACATCTATTTTGATCGAAACGCAAGGTAGTTAATATTATATATTTATTTGATCAACATAAAATAGTCACTTTTCTGAATTCAAAATAAATTAAGTTAATTTATTATTTTCAAACTAGAATCATAATATCAAAATAAAAGTCTAAGAAATATATCTACTAGAAAGTTATATTGGCAATAAAAGAAATCAATATTATCCTTTACGGTATTTTGGTCATCTTTTGGCTTTGAAGCAGGTTTGTGTTTGTTTTCGTAATAAGAAAATGTTTCTGCAGTTCAAGCATCCCCTAGGGGAAGTAGTAGTTTATCCTAATTTTAATACCTGCAAAACTAGCAATAAAAACATCTCTGTAGCTAAAATCATTGGTCTTCTCTTCTGACTGCAGTCTATTTGACGAGCATTTGCCACGTCCATTGTTCCATTCTGAGGTCAACAAAATAAGGCCGTAATATGAAAAAGCATTGCCAAAGAAAACTATCCACAAGAGAAGGGTTGGCCTTGCCAATTGTGATGAAAGAAGCATTAACAATGACGAAATTCCCCCAGAGTTAGTATCCATTCCTTTAGTAGGTCCACCTTCATTTCTTGGTGAGAGTAAACTTGTTTCTTCTGTATTAATTCTCTGCAGATCAATTTGATCATCAGGTGAAGTAATGATGTCAGGAGGTAGTTTTGTTCCATTCATTTTTGCCATTTTCTCCAAAATATTAACGGCATCAGCAGTTCTGCCTTTCAAGCATAGATATCTTGGTGACTCAGGAGCCACTCTGTAGAAAAGGAGGAGGAGTAGCGAGGGTAGGGAAGATAATGCAAGTAACCATCTCCAACCCAGTCGTGGCATGATCAACTGCAAGAAACATTGAATTAGAAGAACTTATATGCGCTAAGTTTGGTCATTCATATAAAAGAAACCACAACAGCGTCCAGCTCAGAAATTTAGTGTTCGCAAGACTAAACACAAGCCAGGTTATGTAACCTTAAAACATTTTGTCTAAATGGAAATAACAAAATACCATTGACATAGTATGAAGTCTCCATAACCAAGCAAATAGGAGTTCAATCTTGTATACCCTACTCTTCGAAATAAATTCCAGCCAAGCTATAATGAATACTTTACTTTGTTAAAGCCCCAAGCTTAAAGGACTTTTGAGTTAGAATACAATGTTAGAGATAATAGATATCGCTGTGAATAATGTAATTCTTTAGTTATATCCTAGAAGTTATGCACAAACGTAGATATTTCATTAGTCCCCAATAACTTTAACTGCAATTTTGTGCCCTAGAGTAGCCTTCCTTGTATCTATAAATACCTATTTATTTTGCCTCATTCAATACAAGAAACAGAATTCCACACATTTTGTCCTAATTATAGCCTAAAGCTCTTCTTCTGGTGGCCTTCATTTGCTATTTTACTTCCAAAATGTGACCTTCGTTATCACTGGCCATTCTCTTTCTATTTGCAGCCCTCATCGCTGCTGATACGTAACCATTTGCCATTTACTTGATTCCTTTTGACCTTAACAATTAGTAACAACCATAAAACTTGCCGACTAACATACCCATGCTGACCAGATCACAGCTGGAATCCACACACAGCGCCTCAACCTTACTTTAACAAACCTCATGCACGGATACATGAGGTGAGAGTCTCTCTCCAGCAATTGACAGACCAGATCATGTTGCCAAAGACTTTCATAAGGCTTAAGAAGATATGATTGCTTATACAGGGTCTTATCAAAGACTTCTAGAAAATATTTATTTGTATCACATGGGGCCTAATATAGCCTATGTTGTAGGTATTATAAGATTCTTTTCTTTGCCACCATGTTATAACTTCTAGAAATGGTTGGTTGACTTCCCTAAAGTAGCCCCCTCAACCTTCTTTCAACTAGTCTCCGCTACTTGGCTCACATCCCAGGGCACCCACCAACTTTCTTACTAGTGCCTGAAATCTTCAATACACAATTCTACACGTCCAACTGAAGCATGACTACAATAGTTAAAACAAAGGAATGCTGGCATTGAGAAATTTTGGCCTCTACTGACCAAGGAGGTGTAGTTTGAATGAATTTAGGCTGCATTTGAGTATGAAAAGGGAGACAGAAATGGAATCCATGTGAGTAGATGTTTGGTGTGACAATCTTAATTCCTAAAGAATCCTATTCCCACAAATCTCCCAGAATCCGGTTCCATCTTATATGGAATCTGATTTCATCCCGCCTTCCTGTCATGTTTCATCTCCCCTTCTCCATTATGTCCCTACCTCCATCTAACCTTTCTCCATTTTGGCTACCTGTCCTGTGACAATGGATGACTGGATGACAGCAGCAAGTACTAACCCATCTGATAGAAACCATAGATCTAGCCCTATGTTCTTGGTCTTCGACTTCAGTCTCCTCCAGTGACAATGCTTTTCTCCTCTGATAATATTGCCTCCAACGATGACACTCTCCTCCTCCAATGACATTCCCTCTAAAGCCGATGATGTCAACCTTGACATGCTTCTGCCATTTCATGCTTGATCTATGACTGCAAGTGTGGTCTGTCTATTTTCCTCCCGCGAGCTGTGCTGTTAATATTTTCTGATTCAAGCTCATTCTTTTCTACTTTCCCTAGGATATTGCCCTGCATTTTAGAAGAGGGATTTGTGGTTGACTATGTTTCTTTGACAGTTTTTTTTTTTTTTTTGGGTGCTAATTGCGAAATGTGTTTGTTTTTCTGGGGGATATTTGTCTCTGATTCTATGATTAGCTGCTTTGGGTTCTTTGACGGTGGTTGTGCTGTGGGTGCTTCTATACAGTGGTTGATGGTTGTTCTTGGCAGTGACAATGGCAGATCTGTGTTTTGGTTTGGGGTTGTTAGGGATAGTCTTTTTTAAAAGGGAATTGTAGTCTTTCAACGTTATAAATACAAATATGAAATTTAAAATTACTGCATGATTTCATATCATCCCAAACATACTTTTAAACTCCAATTTTATTCCATTTCCTATTCCGACTCCTTACAAAACCTTTTCCAGAATACCAAATGAGGCCTAAGAGTATCTCTTCCAGACAATGAATATTTGAGGTACACATCTATTGCCAAGCTCCCTTTTGGGGGCAAAATCCCTCAAACTAGGGAAGTAAAAGACATACTTGATTCCATATCTGTTTTCCCACCATTTAATATTTCATAATATAATAATAAGATCAACTTTCAAAAGTACTTTAGGAATCTTAACTTTCGCAAGTACTTACCAACAAAAAGAAGACGGGGTTAAGATTGATAGATAGGGTATGATACTTTGAAATTCCTTTTTACAAAGAAAGCCAATACTTACCCATGCAAGTGATGCTTCAAAAATTGTTCCAAGCGTCCAAAATGCAGAAAACACCACCATCCAGGTCCCTCTGCTGGGAGCTGGAACAAACTCCAGAAACCAAGATGCTAGTACAGGGCCACCTCCCAGACCAATACCAACCATAAAACGAAAAATAACCAAAAATATATAACTAGGGGAAAAGGCACTCAGTAGACCAGCAATAGCAGTAATTAGAGCTGGGACAAGGAATCCCTTCCTGAAAGAATTGACATAAATAAACAATAAAAAGCAGATAATGCTGAAAAAACACGCCAACAGTTGTATGCTATTTAAAGAAACTTTCAAACAAATTTTATAATCACTAAACACATAAGGGAATAGAAAAAGAGAGAATTGGCACAAAAAGGAGATAGTAATTGGTATGGTCAGAATTTTGAAAATGACTGTGCTTGTACAACAAAAACATGAAATTGCAATGAAACAATAATTAAACCATCAGCAATTACTCTTACATAATTACAAGTGGTAAAATAGACAACAATAACAAGCCTTATCCCATTAGATGAGAATAGTTACACGATGCCAATGTGCTCTATTAATAACCAAATCATTGAATATATTATTAACTAAAAGGTCTTGCTAGATAAATTCATTGAGTGTTCTCTCTAATTTTCCTCTACGCCTATTCACCAAATTCAAGACTATTTGTTCAACCCACCTCACCAGTTTCTCCAACAGCTTTCTTTATACATGTCCAAAATTTTTTAATGGTTTTCTACTATTTTCTCTTCAATACATTCCACGCCAACCCTTTCTTGTATACGGTCACAAAAATATTATCTTTTCTCATAGGCCTACACATCCATCTCAACATCTTCATCTCTATTACCCCAACTTTATGTTCTTATTGTCCCTTTGAAGCTTGACATTCACTACCATATATCATAGTTGATCTTATAAAAGATCGATAAAACTTCCTTTTAAAATTATTAGCTACTATGAAGAAATTAAAAAAACTATAGGTTAAGGTATTAAAGTAACAGACTTAAAAGTTAAAATTTACATAGATAAATCTATCAGTGTAAATGAAGAGATGTTTGGCTCATAAAAAATCTCAATAATGTCAAATAAGATAACTGCTACTTATTCTAGGGCATTAAAGCCCTTGTTGAACAACCACAATTGGAAGCAAACAATCAACTAAACAATCTATTGCAATAAACAATAAACAGAATCTTACTCTGATATTACTTTAAGTTGATTGGTAAACACTCCTTAATACCTGATAAAACCCTCTATACTAATAAGCTTAAAACAAGCAAAAGACCGAGCAAATACAGTAAAAATGACTGAAAATACTATTACTGGATAATAAAGAAGAAAGATTACAAAGAAGATAAGGATTCAAGCTAAACCCAACTCCCTCATACACCCAAAATAATAAAGTCATAAAGTACAAGTATTAGTACAAAATACAGTCCACAGAACAATAATCTAGAACATAAGCCACTTATTAACATGCACTAAAACATAAAGAGAAAATGATGAAGCAAGAAGATCTGCCTCCACCCCAATACACTGGACTTTTGAGAGGCTAATACTCTCCCAAACCCACTTCACTTTCCAAAATGATTCTACCCCCTCTCTCGGCCGAAAAAGTTGCCAAATCACTGCCCCTACCCTTAGCTGCCCTTACTCCCTTCTCCTATGTCACTTCTTTTCCCTTTTGACCAGGACCCATGGTGTAATCTTTTGACCCAGAAGTTTTTGTTTTGCCCTCTTCTATCACTTTCTTTGAAATCTGCTCCTATAGGTCTTAGCAACTTAGCAGCTCTATCATTACCCTTCCCTTGAAGTTTCACCTTGTCCTCAAGGTGTGAACGGGAAGCGGAATTTGGTGGCTTCTTTTGGACCTTGAAATTCCCATGCCAAATTGTGATTCTCAACAACTTAAGGTCTTCAACATCAACATTGTCCTTTAAACCCCTACAGTAACCCAAGGCAATTGCAATCCTTGTATCATTCCATATATGTAAGTGCGTTCCATAATTAGGGAGTAGCATTCAAATAACTCAAACACAGTTCTGCCTTTTCCATTTGTGTCGATATAGTTTTTTGCATCTCCATTGAAATCTCGCCATATGCTAAGTGGTTGTCTGTGTTGAGCATAAAGAGTTTAAACACAGCATCTAAGGTGTTAAGACCAAATTTTCCAAAGAACAAAGTGATATTTCCAACCACTTGGAATGCCCCATCTGAAAGTTGTCACACATGATCAATTCTGTGCTGATAATTGAAGCCCTGAAGGAAACTTTATCGACTATAAAAGTCATGACATGGGCATTCTGGTTTACTAATTTCAAGGTCCACTTAAAACACTTGAGATAATATTGGGAAAATGAAATTTCACCCTTGCGTATCCCATTATCAAAGGAATGATTAGAATTTGTTTACCTTCGATTAATGGATCCAAGCAACAAGTTGGTTGATTCCACAATTGCTATACTTAGAGGGCTAATAGCTAGAGGCACCAGAATGCATCTCACAAACCTCTTCATGATTGAAAATATAGAAGAGAATGGGATTCCAAGAGATGTTTTCTTACCTGCCCAGTAATGGTAAACATCAATGCTAGTAATAAATGTTGACTGAAATTCACAAGCTCTCAAGATCGGAGATGAAAACGCTACCCAATTCATCTTCTCATCTGTTTTTTGCACCCCTGCATAAGAATATTTTATGGGCTCCTTCTGGATCAGGCCCCCTTCTGGATCAGGCCCAACATGAATTGTGTATATTGGGGTATCCATCCCATTAGAATTATTAATCCCAAATCTTTTGGATGAATTGATGTGATAGAAGCAAAGGACTCGTCAATTGCACATAGGAAGAAGGCCCGTCCTCAATCACAAGCTCTCTTTTGTGGCTGAGAAATTCCATCCTCTCTCTTCTCTGATTTTTATGGATGAGTAACCAGGGAAGAAACTGAAGCTAGTTTGACAGCAGTGACAGAAGCAAAGAACTCAAAAAAATAGGCTCCGAATTAAAATACACACAGCACCAACCTTGCCCATCATTTGTGAGACAATTGAAGGAAGAAAAAATGAAAGTGTAGAGAGCTCTGTGCATTTCTTCATTAGAAAAACAACCCGCCTTTGCTTCATCATCTCCCTCCTCCGTATTTGAGTTCACTTGCGCCACTTTCAATACTGATGACGTCAATGTTTTTGAAGATGAGAAGGGTTTTTTGTTTGGTTCAGTCAACGTCGAAGAAAATGAGATCAAGACCCTCACAGTCGTTGCTAGTTGATGTGCTGCAACGTGCTCCAGAACTTGTGCATTCGAGGGGAACAATGCTAGGACCATTTTCTCTCTTTAGGTTTTCTGTTCAGTGGCAGAAAGGATTGCACAAATTGGGCTCGAATTTAGGCCTTACTTATGTTTTTATCAAGCCCATAAGTTTTTATTTTCTCATCAAATTTAGGGCTTCTTCCAAATCTGGATAGCTTAACCCGATCCACCCTCCAATCTCGCTTCAACTTTTTGCCATCAACATCCTCTGCTTTCAACCAAGTTCTTCATCATTTTTCATATCTCCAGCGTTTTGCCCAAATTTCTTCAACATCACAGCTTTGCTTCATCTCCTCAATTGCTTCTGCTACAGAAACACGTATTTGTTGAACTCTTGTGGAACTACTTGGATTTATTTTGACATTTTTCAAGAGTTGAAAAGCTTCAGCTCTCATCTCTTCTTTTGGTTGGTTACCGAAAACTTTTTCAAGCTTCTCCTCATCTGAAAAAGGTCGCAACTTTAATTGTTGTCCAGCTTTAAACTCTTTCTCTATTTCTGTCTCGGTCGTTCCTTCCTTCTCCTCTTCTGCACTTACAAAATCACTTGCTTTATAACCATCTTCTACTCCAAGCTCTTTTGGCTGCATTCCTCCCTCTGTTTCCTGCTTTGATTGTTTCCTCCCGTCTTCTTCTTTTTTCTCTGGTCCAACATCCCTCTCTTCTATTTTCGCCCCTGATTTCTTTGCTTCGTCGTGCACCTTCTCTTTGTTCTCTATTCTTAACTCTTCCTTCATTCTTTCTTTCTCTTCCCAAACTTTTAAGGTGTTTGTCATGCTATCTAGATGCCTACTACACTTCTCCAGCAACTCCTTCGTCATCAATATTGTTTGTTCATCCAGAGCCATTGTCAGCTCCTCCCAAGATTGGACTGCTCTGATACCAAATGATAAAACTCTCCATACTAATAAGCTTAAAACAAGTAAAAGACCGAGCAAATACAATAAATATGACTGAAAATACTATTACTGGATGATAAAGAAGAAAGATTACAAAGAAGATAAGGATTCAAGCTAACCCCAACTCCCTCATACACCCAAAATAATAGAGTACAAGCATCAGTACAAAATACACTCCACAGAACAATAATCTAAAACATAAGCCACTTACTAACATGCACTAAAACATAAAGAGAAAATGATGAAGCAAGAAGATCTTCCTCTACCCCAATACACTGGACTTTCGAGAGGCTAGTACTCTCCCAAACCCACTTCACTTTCCAAAATGATTCTACCCCCTCTCTCGGCTGAATTGGAGAACTAAAAACCGACAAAGTTACCAAATCACTGCCCCTACCCTTAGCTGCCCCTACTCCCTTCTCCTATGTCACTTCTTTTCCCTTTTGACCAGGACCTATGGTGTAATCTTTTGACCCAGTAGTTTTTGTTTTGCCCTCTTCTATAGATCTTAGCAACTAAGCAGCTCTATCAGTACCATAAATGAAAATGAAGGGGAGGAGCCAGATTGTCTGTCTCCTTTCCCTTTCTTTTTCTCTTCTAAATGTATTCTTTTCTCCAAGATTTTCAGTTCCCCCCCTCAAAGTTCAAATTTTCCCCTTCAGCATCTAGTACACACAAGACCATATCTTGCTTAATTCAAAGACAACAAATGACAGTATCTAGTTCTTGCAATTAATCTCCAGCATCTAACCATCTAAAAGAGCTTTTCTTTCTGTTCGGGTGGAATCAAAAGGCAACTTATTTAGAATAGCTGGGCACAGTTTAAGCAACATACTTAGCATCACTTCCAATATAAATCAGTCTCAATAGCATTGCAAGAAAACTGAGTATAACCCCATGCCTTGTTTAACTCTTCAATGCTTATCCAAAAACAAGAACAAGCCTTATCTCACTATGCGGGATCAGCTATATGGATTACACAATATCATTGTGCTCTATCATCAACCAAGCCTTTGGAAATATTGTTTACTAAAAGGTCTTATTCAACAATTTTTATGGGTGTTCTTTTTGGTCTTTCTCTTTCTCTCTTTACAAGGCTCAAGACTATCTATTTCACTTTTCTCACTAGTATCTACCACAGTCTTCTCTGTACACATCCAAACTATCTCAAACACCCCTTTTCTCATTATGATCAAGACATATTTTACAGCAAAAAGGTGCAATTCAATTAATGCATCGACTAGACATTAAGGAGAAAAAGGAGTATACCTTCTTCCATGCTTATCTGAAACAATACCCCATGAGTAAGACCCAATTAGCATGCCAGCAAAAACTACACTGGCTATCAGATTCTGTTGCTGAGAGGAAAGACTCCATGCAGATTGAACTGCTGGGCCTACAACAGAGAGTAGCATCATTTCCATCGCTTCTGCAACCCAACCAAGGCCAGCATAAGCAAGCACAAGAAATTGGAAATTTCCAAAACCCATGGCTATTAGAGCTTCATCAACTGTGTTGTTTGGGCCTCTGTCCCCCATCTATAATTCGAAAATAAAGAAACTCAGTACGGATATACAACTAAGCAGAGATATGTCTAAGTTCTAGTTATAATTATATCAAGATTTAACACAGAACAATAAATCTAAGTAATACATTTTTTTTCATTAAAAAATTATATAGAGAGATAAACAGAACAGCAATGGTCACCGGAGTGTCAGAATCTCAACAGCAATTGTAACTAGGAAAAAGATAGAGCGAGAAAAAAGCTGGCTCAAAAAAGCTCCCCAAATTATCTCCAACTATAGCAAGCATGCCCTTTGTAAAATCCATTGGCATAACAAATTAGAATTCAGAAAAAACTATCCTATCCTGAATGAAATTTTCTATCTCACAGGTATCCATGTTCCAAGGTAACAATTTTAATGCTTTAATATAGTCAAATGCACTTAATGCCCAAAAAAAAAGGAATAAAAACAGCATAAATCCTCAAAAACAGTATGCGAGGACAAATTCTTGCTCAAAAAACTATTAAACAGCCCATCCACCAGCTTCATAGAACCCCAATGTTAGAGACTAGCAAATATTAGTTTTACTAATGTTTGTTTCCTTCTTTTATAAAAATTGCATCTCATATTGTACTGTAGGCTTTGCATTTCCTATTATTCTTATATAAATAGTACACAAATGTAAAGCGTAAGTCAATTGCAAATTCCTGCCCATGGTTTCTTCTCTGGTTCCATATTCAGTTCATAGTATTAAAGACAATGGGAGGTAAAGCTGGATGCCTTGGTGTATCCTGCCAGGCACCGGCAGCATCCCTTCTCCAGAACACATCCCGTGTTTAGACCATAATTTTCATCACAACTCAGGTTGATTGTGCTTCTCACCAACAGTGTATTACATCAAGTGCTATTGAACTGCCACAGCAAGGTCAAATTGGCTCTACAGCACAATCTTCAGCCATCATCCTGAATCCTTCTTGTGTCGTGCTCACATGCTTTATAGTGTTCACTAGCTTATTGCACTCACTGTCTATCTCAAATAATTTTTTATATTCTAAAAAGAAATCGAATCGATTAATTCAAGAAGTTTGAGCGCTGAGTGCTGAATAGATACATTATGCATGCGTACATATACAATAACAACAAGTCTTATTCTACTGAGTGAGGTCAGTCACATGGATTATACGATGCCATTGTAATCTATCATATATCAAGCTTTTAGAAATGTTGTTAATTAAGAGATCTCGGTCAACAATTTCCAAAAGTATTTCTTTAGCCTTCCTCTATCCCTCTTAACAAGGTTCAAAGTATCCGTTTCACTCTTCTTAATGGTGCTTCTCGCAGTTTTTTTTGTATATGTCCAAATCATCTCAAATATTTTCTACCATTTTTCCTTGATAGGTGCGCTCACTTGTTCACGTATATACTCATTGCAGATTTTATCTTCATGTGTATGCCTACACATCTACCTCAACATTCTCATCTCTGCTACTCTAACTTTATGTTTTTGTTGTCCCGTTAAGGCCTAACATTCACTACCATATAACATAACTAGTCTTATAACAATTCACTAAAACTTCTCTTTAAGTTTATTATGTACCTTACAATTGAAATAACTCTAGCCTTTCTCCAATTAAACCACCCAGTTTGTATCCTATGTGCCATATCCCCTTCAATTTCCCTATCATATTGAATAATAGCTCCTAAATATTTAAACTTTTTCACTTGAAGTATAATCTAATCTCCCAATTTCAGTTCCAAATTACTATTGACTAACCACTGAATCCTGATGTGTGTGTATACATACCGCTGAATCCTGATGGATAAAAGGAAGAAAAACCTTATACAAAGACCTGTCAACTTTCTAGCTAGTACTGTCCACGCTACTTTAAAAGTACATTGCGAAGCCAAGCAGTTAGAGGTGGAAAATAACCAACAAGGATCCTACAGGATAATTAAGATACGCAAAGTTTTACAGACTAGAGAAGCTTCTGATGATATGCCAAATTCTCTGTTAAGTATTCCTAATAGTTCAGTAAGATACTCAAAGAGTTAGCAGACTTTATGGGACCAACAGCAAAGTCAATTGCTATAGAGAAAACCATTTGAATATACACTGAAACTGGAATGCATTGCAGAAAGTATGGCTCTATACAACTGACCTGATGACTCAACTACAAGAATTATAGCAACAATTTAGTGAATACAAGTAATGAATAGGACTAGAAGGAATGTCTTCCTAAAGCAACAATTCTGTAATGTCGACCAAAACACAAGATTTTCAGCAGCTTTAGGTACACACAGCTCATTTTAAATGTCTTTGAGAAAATATGGGCAACAAATTATCGAATGATTCAAAAGCTGGGCAAACAATTAGACCTGGAAATGGTAAATCAGTGGAATATGAACAGCTCATATCATGAGGGCTTCAAATAAATAGACCAGCAACCAATAGTTATTTTACTTTTTCTTTTTCAATTCTTCACATAATTAGAATTTTTTAACACAACCGCCAAGGGTTTTTGGGAGGGGTGAAGGAACGAACTAAATTTCTTTTTTTCCTGAAGTCAGATGTCTACCAATAGAGAGCCATAAAACAGGAGGACTAACATTGTGCCTGCTTCTATTTTTCCAAGGCTCCCATATCTTATTCATTAAGAAATCTAGCCCTTAATGTGAAATGGGATACATGCATGTTATTATCAGCTCTGGGCCCCCCCAAGCCGCATGCTATAAGAAACAGAAAGAGATGCGTCTATGAATCCAAAGAGAAAATGAAGAAAATAAGATGCTAAATGACATTTATTACCGAAAGAGAGCCAGAACAACATATATATCGACAAACCGGAGAAGAAATAATACAATTGTAATGGATACAAACCGCGAAAAGCAGTGTAACAAGAAAGTAAACAAGTAATTTGCATCGTACTATTGCCAAGACAAAAGGGCGTTGTTTGAAGAAAACCCAAGAGAGCAGATGAATAAGACGATGGATACTTCGCTCTTCTTGATCTTCTTAGAGTAACCAAAAGTCAAAATGCTGATGCGGAAATAGATTACAATCCCTCTTATTGACCTTAGCAGAGTAATCAAGAAAGTCAAAATGTTTCAGGGATAGAGATTATAACGCTTCCATATATGTAACTGTAAGTTACCAGGTGATTAAGAAGCGTTTCTCGTTGGCCTTCCTGGTGAACGAAGACATAGCACGTTATGTCCGCCTAAAAATTGACAAATTCTTCATTTCATGACGTGACCGAACCAAGAATGTATAAAGATATTTGCCGTTTGGATTTAAAAAGCAAGGTGAGATCAAAGATTTAAACCCCCTAATTAAAACAAAAACGGGAAATAAAAAGATGTGAAGATGATGTTTGGTAACTACTAGCATAAAACAAAAATGGATAATTTTTTATGAGAAGATATTTATTTGGTTACGTAAATATAAGGGAGTATTTTAACAAACAAAAGAAAAAGATGCACTTGCCCCTGGATTTTTTGTCATCAGCAAGACATTATGTTAAGAATTTATTATCATTATGTCATGTATTTATGAAAATTTTGTTATTCTTTTATTCTAAATAATTTATATATTTTAAGTTAAACTATTTTTAATAAACCAATTGTACATTACAAAAAATTATATAAAAATTTATAAATATTATGTTTTGCACTTATGAAAAAAGGGAGGACAAGTGTGACTTTTTTCATTAAAATATATTTTACTTAAAAGCGTTAGACCTACAGAGAGTTTTAAAATTATATTAGGTTATAAATACAAATTGTTATGCTTTAGGAGTTCGAAGTGAGATTTTCCCTGAACATAATAAAAAAAATGAATATATGTTATAACTATAAGTATAAAAATTACGCATGTATGTCCATCTTCCATGTCATAATTGTAAAAATGTCCATCTCCTCATATTACTTCATTTTATTTAACGACTATAACTCATGAAATTATCAAATTTCATTTTCTCACATAGATTTCATGTCTTCTTTACAGTACATCATTCATAACTAATTGTTTAGACTTTTAACTTGTAAGTATTTGCTTTTATATTATATGGCATCTCATTTGTATTATTGGAAGTATGGAAGAAAATACAAGATTTTATCATCATAATCCATTCTATTACTACAATTATTTCTCCTCTTTCTTCTCATTTATATTACTTCTATATTTTATTCATAATAATGTGAAGATTATGAATTTCCAAGCACTTTCGAAGAACGCGAGAATGAACCTTATGCCCTTATCCCTCCTAAACGAAAATCAGTATGAAGATAGAAGTGGAGTCTATGTGTGTCATTCCATTAATACTCGTACCAGGCTTAGTCATGGGTATTTTTATTTTATATATCTAGAACAAGATGGGCTGCGGTTAAAACATTGATTTTGTAAAAAGTTTACATCTTTCTAGTCACATCATTAAAAAAAAGAAGAAGAAGAAGGACACTTGATGTATTCAAAATATCTTCATTAATTACTTAAATGGAATGTATTAAAATAAGAGTATGATTGAATAAATATATAAATAAATATATATATATATATATATTCTGTGACTTTTAGAAAATACCTTGTATTTTGATTTGGATGGAGTAAGAGATAACAAAATTTTTATTCCATCAAATTTATCTCTGTTATTAATTTGATCTTTATTATTTATATAGAAGTTAATATTGTAAAAATCTACTTGCATGAATAGCATGATATTGATGGTATTTATATAGATTAATGAAAAATATGTGTAATTATTTAAAAAATACAGTCATCAATCCCTATAATTTCATCAAATTTTGCCTTTAGTTCCTATAATTTTTTTAACATTTTCAGTGTCTATAATTTTAACAAAATTGGTAACATTTGTTCCTCAAGTTTCTAACAATGTTAAATTACAAGGACCATAAGGACTAAAAATAAATTATAGTCACTAAAAGTAAATTTTGACAAGACTATAAAAACTAATAATTATATTTTTTTTATTTAAATGAAAAATAAACTCAAAGATTTTAAAAAGAAAAAAATTGTATAAGAAATTAAATTGATAAAAATTAAACTAATTTGAGAATTAACTTATTCACATTTTTTTGTATGAATGAATTCATTTAATTACATGTGCACATCAAATCATCAATATACTTTATATATTACATTAATTTTTTGAGGGTCAATTTTTATTTTAAAATTTAAAAAACTAACATAATAATTTAAGAAAACATAAGAGATTAAATCAATAAAAATTAAATTTAAAGAAACAAATTCAAGTGATAGCAAAATTTCGTTGCTCCTAAAAACAAAATGCATGTGATACATCAACTTCAAAAACTCGTAAGACATGATGCTACCTGGCGTTTTAAATATGGGTCATTTTTAAAAAATATGAAGGCATAAAATAAGCAACATACTTATTATTTATTTTGAGATTTAACAAGTGGGGAGAAATATGAAGGGAGAATGACAAATAATTCCATTGAAAAATAGGCAAATGACAAAAATATCATGAAATGGGATAATTTATTTTCAAGTTGTTAGAGACTTACTATATAATTTTTTTTATAAAATTATGTTTATGACCTTATGCAAAATAACAAAAAAAAACATAAGAATTAAAACTTAAGTTGGAGATGTTAAGATAGGAAGTACACTTATTATCATTATATATATAAAAGTAGGGTTAAAATTATGAGAAAATGGCATGTGTTCATTTTAGGTTTGTTGTAATTTTGTGCTTTAAGATGCTTTTTCCATAATTCTATATTTTGAAAGTTAGGTTTAAGGTTAGTTCGGAATGACTTATTATTTTTTAATATATATATATATATATATAATATATTATTTAAGTTTGGAATTAGGTGTGAGATGAATTATTAATTTTTAGATGTATACAAAATTTTTTTTACCAATTTGAAATGCAAATATGATAATATTTAAATTAAATTAATATATATCTATTTAAAGTTTCCATCTATTCTAAAGATATGTTGAAAATTATTATTTTATATTTTTCATATAATTCTAAGGTTATATTTTATTTAAAAGTCATTTGCATATGTGTGGAGGATATTTTCTGAAAATATCTATATATTTGAATTCAAATTAGTATATATATATATATATACACAGAAAAAAAGATTCTGAGTTTAAAATTTTTGATCTATTCTAATAATTTCCTAAAATTAAGCTTCAAATATGCATATTATTTTTTAAATCTTCCTTAAAATCTATTTGACATTTATTTTTCTTTAGTTAGATCTATCTGTTTTAATTGCTAATATGTCAAAAAAATAGAATTAAAAAATATCGAAGATGAGCATAATATATATTAATTTAAATTATTTTTCATGTTAAATAAAATTATTTAATTTAAAAAATTTGTTTAGAAAAAGAAATATCTATTTCATGATAAATTATAAATGTGTCAATTAGAATTAAAGATTTTATGACTGTTTATTTGAAATTCAAATCAACATTTTTATATAGATATAGGTAATAAAAAATTAATAGATAAAAATTTACAATACATTAAGAGTGTAATGTCAACCCGATAAATTAGCAAGTTCAATTTTATCTAGAGGATTGGGATAGACTAGGCACCAGCTTGAGCTTAAAGTTATCCAACCCAATCCTTGGGAGAAAAAGTTGTTGCGTTTGATTGAGATTTTAAGCAAATCTTTCCTATCATTCCAGGTGGGTCGAGAGACATTTTTTTATGCCATCATTAACTCTTGATATATTTGGAATAATTGTCAACTTTTTATATTAACAATAAACATTAGACTTCTAGCAACAAATATTGGAGCATTTATTACTACTCTTCATGATTTTGCTTATTCAATTATCAATTGATGATGGAACTGCTGCTAAAATTAATGAAGGATCTATAGATATTAAGATTATAGCTAAATTTGTTACTAGATGATTCAGATAATTCAATAAATTTCATTGTTAATTTGACTTTCTCGAATTTCTTTAAAAATATCTATAATTCTTCATATTTTAAATATATGGCTATATTATCTTCTACATTGGCTTTCTAGTGAGGAGGTTGTATGCTTAAACTCAGATAATGTTGCGAAAGATGATGGAAAATATGTATTTATTCAATGCCTTGTACTATATAGATTTTCTAAATTCAATTTCAATGTTAGGACTCCTGAATCATGAATAAGGCTAAAAGTGGTGCTCTAATTATTTTAATGCAGGATATTGACAAATTTATGGAGTCGTGCAATGATACACATCACATACATACACGAATTAAAAAATGTTATTAAGGCCCAAGAAATGTCTGGATCAAATGTAGGGATGAAAGTATACATATCGCGTACTCTTATGTGTTCATCTAATTCTACGTTGCCATTTACTATGATGAAGAGTTCATTTTCCATAATGTTGGTCTTTGTTATAACTCTTAATGAGAGCGAGGGACGAAGCCAATGTTATGTTGGTTTGTGCTTTCCTTATCATGTTCTTATCAATATCCATAATTATATATTGTTATTTTTCATGTTTGAAATAAGAAGGTTTTAAAAACATTGGTTTTTGATAAGGACGGTTGCTATACATATAGACTTCTAATATACTTTATATGGAAGTCTTTGATAATTTATTTTAAATAATCATAAATTTTTGTTAATCTACTTCTCATCACATCAATTTACACTATATGCATTTATTTTTTATTATTTGCTTGACTTTATATGCATATTTGATATTAATGACAATAATTACACAACTCCATTGCATATATGATGATATAGAGAACATGTCTATTATCAGTTATTTTTTTAAGAAAGATTTTTCTACAGAATTGATACTTATTTATAAAAACTATGGGTACTTTACTAGTTGTATAACTAAACTGACAATTATATTTTCTATATTAATAATACTCTCTTTGTTATCAACATCTTCAATTTAAATTTTAACAATTATGTTTTGTATTGTTCTGCAGGAAGTCATAAGCATAATTTTGCAAAAACATATGTTAAATAAGTCCTCATGAACTTTAAAATATTTTTCTCGTCTCATGGTATTATTCTGTCACTTAGTTATTTGTCACTTTTAAATTATCAGGGACAAATTTAGGAAAAAATTAATTCGGAATGAAAAATTGTTTTTACTAATTTGTTAATCC